ATAATTGTTAAATTACTGTTTCAGGTTTTGTTTTTTCTTTTGTAGATAAATAATAAGTTTTTTTTCTTTATTTTTTGTGTTGCCAGATTGGTTTTTTTTTTTATTATGTCGTAACAATTTTTTGATTTTACTTCTGTATATTATTCTCAAATTTTACTTCTTTATTTCTTATTTTTATTTAATATTCTTCTCAGTTTCTTCAGATTAAGTTTTTAGGTTTTTATTTAATTCAAAACACTTCAAGTGGACTTAAAATTGGTCAAGTCGGTGTCAAAATAAATAAAATCACGATAGTTACATTTGGCCAAAATACGTATAACTAAAACATTTCAAGTGGACATAAATCCGTTTTTGTTGGTGTCAGAATTAAATAAACCACGAATTTTTCGGTTTTTTATAATAATAATAATGGAACTAATCATAGGTCGAAATGTACGTGAAACACTAAACATCAGATTTCAAGTGGACTCAAATCAGGTTATTTTGGTCTCAAAATTACACAAAAAGCCTGTTTTTGTGTTTTGCATTGTAATAAGAGAATAAAATACACATTACAAACCAGACCAATATTCTTAAAACTTCAAAAAATTGTAGAAATATTAAAAAAAAGAAAAAAGCACAACATTCGGTGAACCGCATCACCAAAAAAAGAATAAAATTTAAGAAACTCTCAAACTCTCTTCTTTCCTTTGTCATCATCTTTATTTTTGTTAGTTTTTTTCGACATTCTTAGTTTTTTATTTTTTTGTTCTTAAAATTGTTCATTTAAATTTTTTTCTCAACTTTGCAAACCCATGTTTATTAAGATTTTTTGTTTATTTTGGCCCATACTATTACCTTTGTAAATATTTTACAATCTTTTTTTAACACTCTGTATGTAAATATTAACGTCTTGAGGAAAAGCTCATCCTGACATGTTTTGTATGCATGAAAGTTGTTAAATTTGTAATGGAGTAAGCCAAACAAACAAAGTAATTTTTTAATCATTTATTAGAATCGTAATTCAATTAGATTTCTCTCTTTTGGTAAGCTCCCTATATTATATTTACAATGAAGATGGGTTACCTCATTTAATATAAATCGTGATATGTTATAAAGTGAAAGGGCAAAGCAATCGATTCTCGAGCTTATAGGTGAGTAGAAATGCTAAATATAGAGAACAGAGTGCATGAAGGCACAAAATGGAAACACTCTATGATTTTATTAGAAAATTGAGTTTCTAAGATGCTTTCAAGACTAAGTAGTTTTAACATTATTTTAATTAGGGAGTGTGTTTATGAAATTTTTTTGCGAGACAAATCTCAAGATGTCTTTATGAATAATGCAACGACTTTCTATTCTATTAAAACGATCTTGTATTCAATATGCTGTGCCCCTGGTACATATACAGAAATGGATTTCCGTTTCCGTTAATCAACTCGGCTTTACTTGTGTCTCGACATGTTCAACTAAATTAACAGATGGTAAATCAAACAAACCATCTCGTCAATTTCGATTAATGTTTGCGGCCAACAAATTCTGGGATCAAGATTCTTCTCTCTATGATGAAAATAAGGTTTTGCTCTCTTCTCTGGAAAATTATTAAAGTGTGAAAGGGTGCCTCTACCCTAATTAATACCCTTGTCGTGGAAGCAAATTATTATGACAAAGTAGAAAATGTCGTCCGAAATGTTAAATGAAATTTCTTAATTAATGCAAATTTACGGAATCTTCGTTTGAACAATAAACGTCAAAGCTTGATATTGACCCAATATAAGTCTTTTTAATTAGTTAATGGGAATGTATAAAGTAGTAGAGTGCCTTTCTAAACTACAGATCTGTAATTTTTTTTAAGCACAATATAAGTAGGAGTAGGTATATTATTGATTTTTTGGAATAAGAAGGCACAATAAAGACTTGCGCAGGCCAAAGAGTTTATTTCATATTTTCTTTATTCATTCATTTATTAAATTTTGCAATTTGCTTCTTAATCTTTTTTTTTTTTAATAAACAATAAATTATTGCCATTGGCATTAGAGCAGATGCACCCATTCAAATTTTTTAATGGGTAGGGGGCGACTATTGAAAAATGAAAATAATGTACTTTTGCTTAAGGTAAAAAATAATAGTAATATCTCTTAATAATATTTGGAATTTCGTATTTAATTCTGATCCTTTTTTAGTAAAGATATTTAATTTATCGTTTATGTTTTTTTTATTTTGTTTTTCCATTTTCCAAATTAATTCAAAATTAAGCTTTTTAGTGA